TCTCTGCCTTTCATCATAAATGCGAAATCATGTTTGTATTTATTACTTTTCCATCTTTACCTATGAATATACTTACGTTTAAACTATGTACTTAATAAAAATGATTTCTTAAGCAGATGCTCCCCAAGCAGTTGTAATCCTCATTCATTCTTGGGTCTCTGAATAGCCCAACTGCTATTTCTCTTCTCTTTTTCCGCTCATCTATTCTTGGCACCTCACTGAATATTTTTCTTTTTTCTAGTTACATTAGATCGCATTAATTCAGGATGCTGTGGAAATTTCCACCAAATTCATTTCTACTTTTTTCATTATCACCATTTATAGAAGTATACCATACAACTGTCTCCAAGCTATGGTTCTTACTTTCATATGCACCCACAATAACCTAGATAGCATCAATTCATATTTTGTGACATACATTTCATTCATAATTAAATCTTTATTTTCCCTTCCTTGTATCTATTCAATCAACTCCACTCCATGAGATCAGACCACCTTGATTCAGTTGTCTTATGTTCTTCCCCTTTTTCTTAGTTTTGCAGACATACAACTTAACTATTTTTCTTCCTTTCACTTCATTTATTAATTTGTGCTTTTTACTATTTACTCCTTTTACATTCTAAGTCACAGTCTTCCACATGTAATAGTCATCATCACCAGATAGGTACTCTGATACTGATTTCTGGCACCTATCGTTGATTTCTGAGGGTTTCACATAATGCTTTTTTAAAAGGTATAGACCAGGCTAGGCTCTCTTCCATAGTAATCAGTGCAGCATTACACATGCAGCATTCTCTGCTCAATGTAAGAACAGAATTAGTCAGTCTGGGCATGTTATTCCACAAGTCCGGTTTTATCCCAAGTCTGTTCATGCTATTCTATGCACATTGGGATTTCTAATGTAGAGATTGCCTTGGAAGCCAACATCCTGCTGTGCATATCCCACCAGCAAGGAGGTACATGCAGTGTACTGACACACACTTGCAGGACAGAAATAAGGTAATCCAATCCATGTTTGTATCAAGTTGCTGGTGGAATATAGCAGGATCTGTGAAAATTGAGGCTTAACAGGATCCTAGAAATAGGATTGTATTCTGCCAAAGTTTATGAGAAGAAGAAACAAACTAATCATTTGTAATTTCGGGTAATATAAAACCCTGGCTCTTAAAGGCACAACTCTAAATTTGAAATAGAAGGGACAGGGCACTTAATCTGGAATATCATGCATGTATTTAATTGTCCAAACACCACCCATGTTAGGAATACATCTACATTTAAAGCTAGTTGTGTGCCTGTTCCCTTAGTGAGATTTCTATAAACCTTTCAAATCTAATGATTCAAGGATAGATTTCCATTAGCAGATGTATAAAAAGAAGGAAGTTAGAAACCCAATAGTTCTTTTTCTTCTTCCTTCTTCCCTTTTCTTTTTTGGGGAATTTTAATTCTTGCTAAATATGCTTTATTTATTCCTTTGTGTATATCTTTACACACGTGTACACACACACACATACAGAGTATATAGTAACAATACGATGGAGATCTTAACACTAAGTAATCAGCTCAAGATCTAAACCTTTATCATACCGCAAATACTTTCATGCAATCAGCAGCGTTTTTTTCTTTTTAATGTTAACTCTGGATGAAAAAAATCAAATCATTTTATGCTTTTAATATTGACATCCTAAATTGTAATTGATATTGATAGAATACTTTTTTTCTCCTTTCTCTATTTCCAGCATACTAAATTATCTAAATTTAATTAAATGTCAATAATTTTTCAATTAATATTGCATAAACATTCTATCGAAACAATACAATTGTATTAAGATTTATAACAACATAATAAACAGATTTCCCATCATCTGATCCAGGCTAAAAATTCAGTGATACATATTTTTTGTAGAGTTCATTTCTACTCATCAGGAAAGCATTCAGGTCCATAGAGAATCTGTCTTAATCTGTGCCATAGAATCAGTATCCCATAAATGCCTTTGCCAGTTTCTCACTGGCAATATATGCTTTGCTTCTGTGAAAGAATGCTTCAAAAAGTAAAAATCTTTCTGATGTCACATTGATTTTTGAAGCACAGGGGAATAAAAGGGTATTTCTAAGGCTACACTGATGCTCAAAGAAATTTTTTAAGCCATGATGTTGCTTACTCTTTTTTTGTTGGAGCTTAGTGGAATAAGATAATGAGCTTCTCCCTCTGTTGAGGCTCACCACTTCCCCACAGCATAAAAGCATCAGATGCTGTCTCTCCATGTGTGGAGAAAAGCTCAGATTTGTAAGCCCCTGTATCCTTTGTTCAGGATAAGGGTGTTTTTGACAGTTTTCATTGTATGCCATTTCTGTTTTTTCAATCATTATTTTTAAAAAGCCATATTAGACCTGTGAGTCTATGTGAGAGGATGTCTTTAGTGCAACAACATTCATATAATAAATACAGTCCCTTATGTAGTTCTAGCATTGTGGAAGTAAACTGCCTTCAGTTATGCTTCCTTTCATGTTGGATCTGAAGCATTATCTTGGTGGCTCATGACTGCTTTGGCAATGTATGGCCTTTTGTAGTCCAGAACACTTGTATTAAATACTTCTTTGTTCTTAGGTAGGTGTTACCCACAGGATTTGTTCTGCAAAATGTCTTGGAGCATTAAATAAAGTGGTGATTATTTTCTAATATATAACTTTTGAAACTCATTCCTCTGATTTCTATTGAGGTCTGTGTAATTGCAATGTATGTTAAACTGCCAGAAAATCAAAGTGTGTAAATGAATGTGACGGAATTTTGTACAGAATACTTGAAAAAAGAAGTTATAGGATATGTTACTTTATTTTTAAAGTAACACATTCTGCAGATTCTTTTTTCGAATACTTTTTACTGAATGCCCTCACACTCATTTACAACAGGTAACTTCTTACCTGTTGAACTTACCTGCCCAGCAGGCTTTCTCACTTAAATGCATTTTGTTTCTGGGTGAGATAAGAATTTCAGGAGAGCTTTTTGAGAAGAAATGTACACTGGGAATGTTAAACTTCTCTATGTGCAACTCTGTTGTTGCATATTTTTCATCATAAGATTCCTAAACCTTGCTAAAAGGAATTCTAAGGAATCTTTTTATCCTGAATGGGTAAAAGGGGAAGCAGACGCACTTGGTTGTCAAGAACAGACAAAGAAATGGAAAGGGGATGAACCAGGTCAGCAAAAAACAAGACCAGTGAAGAGACAAAAAAAAAAAAAATGCCATGAACACTTGAGTACAATATTTCTATCTATCTGGGCACTTGAACCAACTACATCATCAGATTTTTTTTCTACCACTTCTCGTCTAACCCTTTTCATGGTTTTGTGTATTTTAGAATATAATCCCGAGGATAGGATTTTATTATATTTTATTTATTTAAAGAGCTTATTAGACTGCCCCACTCACAGTTTGTGACTCTAGGCACGGTACATCAATAAAAATAAAAAAGTCAAAACATAAATGCAAAACTACTATAATAAAATGCAGCCATTGCATAGTCAAGGCTGAGCATAGCAAAACCCACACTCACTCTTATGAAAATCACCCTGAGAGCCTTTTTGGCTGACTAGTGAGATAAACATGCTTTAAATAAGCAAATATATATATGTATGTGTGTGTGTGTGTGTGTAATATCAATTACTTAGTATGTGGTCTAGTTTTAATGATGCAGGTTATCTGCATTCTTGGCTAATTATTCAGACAACTGGCTTTATTGTTCACTGAATCAGTGCCAATTTATCTGGAGAAACTTTGGGTTGTCAATGGAAAAAAAGTAAATACCTGCCTAGATCTTTAAGCAACTAACTAATAAATTAGCTAGTATAAGTAGGTTATCAGTAAAATAGCAAAACTCTTCCAAGTTGCTTTCCAAGTTACTATCTTATAATACCACCTGGTGTTGAGGAGAGTAATAGCAGTATAATATTTTCTAGTTTTTGTAATAGTTTATCACATACATTTGAGATGGTAAAAACTCCCTTTCAAATGAGTGTTTTACTGGCTGGCTTAAATACTTCAGGTAGCTGACATTTAATGGAAACTTTCAGTCCTGGAATAATATAATTCCTTCTGATAATTGAATCATGGAAAGAGATGAGTGTTTGCAAGGATCTTGCTTATTGCAAGATCTACAGGGCAGGGCGAAACAAAGGCATTCTTGACCATCCTTTGATTAACTACTGTCAGCAAAAGAAGTTGTACAAAAGTTATGAATGCTCTACTGTGTTTTAATTAAAAAAAAACAGATTAGACCATTCTTCCTGAAACAGATGTCTTTCAAATCTGTTCAGATATTTCTCTCATTGGCCCCCTAGCCAGCACAGCTCTTGACCATGCTCAACAGGATGACTATGGTAGTAGTCTGCCACATTTGGAAGTCACTGACAGATGATGTAAAGATTGTACTTCACTGAGAAAGATAGGAAAAACAGGTGTGAATCCAGATGTTGCACAGCTGCAGCTTATAGCATTCTTCTTTATTGTTGGCCATAACAATTGAGATGAAAGAAAGTTATGTGTAGAATCATTGAGAGATCTCCAGATCAAGTAGTCTGTCAAGCTTACCAAATAGCCATGAAATTAATAATATTCTGGTCCACATAGCAAGATATATATTGAAGATAAACCTGCATTCTGAGTTTCTGCAGAATGCATTGCAAGAAGTCATAGATGGCAAACATAATTGAGACATCACTGTCTATAATGTAAATTTAGCTGATTTTGCCTACTCTATTGAATCTCCTTTTATTATATTAATGCAAACAGTTATGCAGAAGAACTATACCCGTGCTCAAGTGCAAGGGCCTTATCTCTTCCTCCTTTGCTGTAACTTGCTTCTTAGATGTCCCAAATGTAGTATTACCTGGCTGGAGAAAATAAAGTTGAAATATTGTTTTAAGAAGACTGAATTGTTTTGGAAAGTACTGTTTCTTTATCTAAGAAGCAGCATTATTGCTGACTTATCCCTCTTTATACTAGCAGGAGTAGGAACTCTTTCTCCCAGAGGAAGGCTTACTTCTGTCAAGGCCTTATCTGGATCTTCAGCTAGTTCTGGTCTCAATTCAAAAGTGCCCATTAGAGGACCAGGACTTCAGAGAACCTCTAGCATCTCTTCAGTCAGCAGCACTCAGAGTGACCAAAGCACTTGCAGCAATAATTGTAAGTCCATTTTGGGGATTATTGTTTGTTTTAACATATAATTGGATAAAACCCATAGTGGTTCATTGTAACTGCTTTTCTCCTCAGCCAAAGGTAGTAACTAGTAATTCCAGAATGGCCATACCATTTGAACTCCTATGTTACACCATTCAATAGTTTTAGACAATGTTTTGGCCCAAATAATTGAAATCTAATTTATCCTCAGCAGCAAATCCTCTCATTTTGTTAGATTTCCTAACAAATTGTTACTTACAAACACCTGGCTGATACACAGAAGGAATAAGTATTGCACAGCCTTCTAATAAAAGTTATTGTTGCTTGTTTTATTACTGCATTGAAATGAGTAAATTAAGCAATGTACAGATTTGCCAAGGGGAAGGAAGATGTGACATATTAAAGGAAGACAAACCTGCCATATGGAGAAGAGCAATATTAGGCTAAAATGTATGAGCTAAGGAGGCAAGCAGTAATACAGCATCAAGAAGCTTATAATGATGTCTTTTTGCTTCCCTTGCAATTCTAAAATATCCCCTGTGTGTAATGCTTTTTAAAAGAGCAGTCCTGCTGTTTAAGTTTTGCAGCATGCATTTCTCCTACCCACAGATTGGCTCTGTACTGACAGCCATGTTGGCTCACTTGCCTGCCACTGGTTCGTCTGTTTACTTCAGTGCCTGGATCACCTAAGGAGGTTGTAAACGGTCTGTGCAATTCTATCCTTACTCCTAACAAAGGAAAGGGTTTTGCTTTTTAACAAAGAGATGTCATGGTCTCCAGTTCCAGATTAAGGATCCAATTGATGACCTTTTCTTAAGTCTGATTTGCTAGTTGGATTAATCGGTTCTTGTTTCCTGCCTTGAAGCTTACTATTCTCTCTACCTCCCCCCCGCCGCCCACCCTTGATTGTAATTCACTAAGAGCAAGCGTGGGGAATACGCAAGGGGGAACATGGCTGCAGTCTTCCAAGCTCTGAGCTTGCTTTGATCATTTTAAATGACTGTACCAGGAGGACTTCGCAGTTGCACAGAAACCGACTTCTCTCCTCATATTTTCATCAATTCTACCCTCACACCACCGGCAGATTCAGGAAGCCACTACGATGTTACCTTACTGACCTTGCTGGTAGTGGGATCGTACAGCTTTTGTATCATTCCTTTGTTAGCCACATTTACTGGCAGAAGAAGTAGGTGACCATCCTTTTTATATCTCTACCCATGTACATCTATCTATAGATGGATAAAAGGGGCAGCATGTCTTGTTTTCATAAATGAAGTGAATGTGTCAAATGAAATGCTTTTTTCCATTCTGTCTTTTTTAAAAAAAAAATTGTGATGGATAAGAGAGGGAGGAATGTATTTAATTTCTAATAAAGTAATGCATGCCTGATGCATATTCTAGAGCCATAGTAAAATCTGGAAAATACATTAGCCAAATTCATTTCCAGCTGTTGAGTTTTGTGCTCCAGATGATCTTGTACCTGTTTTTTATAAGTATATACTTTTTAAAAATCTCTGCTCTCACCCTCCCCCTTATCAGTGTCTGCATGGCTTTGCTCAGTACACTTTGGAGTTAAATAAATTGTCTGCAATAACCACTACAGAATTCCCTCCTGTCAAGGTTTAAGTAACAAGCATCTTCAGTGAGACTGTTATAAATTAAAACTTAATGTATAATTTTGCATGATTGTAAATGGGCTCTTAAAAAAAAAACAAGTTCAGAGTAACAGCTCTTCATTTAATATAGGCTCAGTGCTTTCTGTTATTTGCTTATAAATTGTGCAGGTCCTGCAATGTTTTCGAGCATGTTTTTATACTAGACTGTTGTCTTCTTCTCCATAACCCCCAACATTGATCAATTATCTTGCCCTAAAACTGTACCATTTAAAATGAGATTGTTCAACAGCTGCCTTTGTCTGTGGCCTGGCATGATTCCTCAGAAATGTAAGTGTAAAGAAGATTATAGTGGAACAGTCTGGAACAAAAAGATGAAAAGAAAAAGGGGAAGTCCTCTGCCTTTTTCATATTTTAGATCAGAATGTTAAGCATTTAAAGTGTACTTTCTCCTTGCACAGGAATAGCCATGTAGCAAGCAAATGCAAAAGCGTGAACTCTGAACATAGCAGTTCCATTTGAAATGATAAAATAATTAAATTGAATTACATTTAAATTACATTTAAATAATTAAATTAAATGTAATTATTTAAACAAATAATAGTTTTCATTATTTTTGTGATCTTGCTGGTTATAGTTCATGTTGCTAATTAAACTTATCAACAAGCTGTTCATTGTCCATAAAGCTTCTCAGATAAGAAATAGCTTATGTAAATATTTCTTATGTAAATATAATATAAATTTATATTAAATAGCTTATAAAGGAAGTGTGGTCCTTCAGATTATGATGGTATTTATCAGAAACACTTGGCCAATATCAGGATCAGATGAGTGTTTTCACCCTAGCTAATAAAACAGGTACTGTATAGAAAAATGAATATGCTATATGCTAATTATTGAGAAGCGAATAGCATCTTTCAGACAAATAAAATAAGGCAGCAGTCTGTGTTGTTAATTGGCTAGTATACCTCACATCATAAACCAAAATATTTTTTCCTCCCTCCCTTCCTTCCTTCCTTCCTTCCTTCCTTCCTTCCTTCCTTCCTTCCTTCC